GAGAAGGGGCTTAATATAAACTTGACATTTTACACAGGGTTGTTAAAGGAAGAACAAATTAGAAAATTGAAACACTGGACAGGGGGCTTCTAAGAGAATGGGCTTAATATCAACTTGACATTTTACACAGGGTTGTTAGAGAAAGGACAAATTAGAAACTTTAAACACTGGACAGGGGGGCCTCTAAGAGAAGGGGCTTAATATAAACTTGACATTTTACACAGGGTTGTTAGAGAAAGGACAAATTAGAAACTTGAAACACTGAACAGGGGGCCTCTAAGAGAAGGGGCTTAGTATCAACTTGACATTTTACACAGGGTTGTTAGAGAAAGGACAAATTAGAAACTTGAAACTCAAGACAGGGGTTGTCAGAGAGAGCTTATTAGAAACTAGAAATGCCACATGAGGGCTGTCAGAGAAAGGCTTATTAAAAACTTGCAACTGTATTGATAGGTAATATTACAGGAAGGAATTCTCTTTAGGAACTTGAGGCTTTAGACAAGGACACCAGCTAACATGTAACAGATTCAATTCTGTAACAATCTTGAACATTTCTGTTGTTGTTAACATTTGCAGTGCTGGTCAATTGAAGTCAATGATTATATACCTTTAGAACAGAATCTAATTAGATTAGAACAGAATTAAAAATATATGTTTGGGATGGTCAAGTTAAAACGGATAATCTTTGCGATTTACATAAAGGTTTTAGTTAATTCTGCAAACATTTTTAAAAAATGCTAGAAAACGTGTACTTAAGAGTTAAAATGAAAAGATAGGGTATTTGTAGAAAAAATAGTTGTTTTTTTTCTCCTAGCTTAACTAAAATTGAAATTTATTTCAAAAAAGAAAACGAAATCATTAATAGTAGTGAATTTAAGTCCACAGAGTGGCAACTGGTTTGTTTTCATAATTCCGAAGTTATTAAAACTCAGTATATTATGACGAAGATATAGATAGAAATGCAAATAATTAAAAAAACACAAAATAATGGTAAAGATTAAAACTGTTTGTTCTATGTGCTTATGCTGGACAGAGTATTTTAATTAAAACTTCCACGGCTATTAGCAAATTAAAAGTTAGAATTGGCATTGACAGCAACCTTGACGATTGACGTGCAATTTTGTCGAACGAGTTTCCATGATGACACGAATTTGCGAAGCAAAGAAAGACTCAAACAAAGCAATAAAAACACTTTATTCTATTTGCCTTTCGTAATTTAGCGGATGCATTTTCAACACAATAGCATTTTAGCTATTTCTCTACCTGAATTTAACACAACCGTTCGTTCCCAGAACAACAAAGAAATTGCACCTGAGGAATTATCAATTATCATCTGATCCAAAGTGGCTCAAAACAATTTATCGTTGCTAAGTGCGATTACAGCATCATTATCATGGGTTAAAAGTAGAAAAAGGGGAATGAAAGGCAGTAAAAAATCTTACCTAAACCAACGGATGGGACGGCCTTTTCTTTCACACTGTCTAGATTGATTGGTAAGTGCAAACCATGGCTGGATTTCAAAGGTCTCTGCCGCATTTGGTCGATGGTTGGTGTCCCAACGGTAGGTGTACAAACTGTATAATCGATCACAGTGCAAATTGGGACATCTAAAAGTCCTTTAAGATGCCTCACTCTCTGTGGATGAGGGTTATGCCTCGCAAAAAATGGATTTTTGCTGTTTCTGTTTGGAAAGCTACTTGTGCTTAGCGACGATTCCGACCTACGAGGCCATGCGTATCGACTTGTAAGAGGCATTTTATCGTCGAAATTTTCTTGAATTGTTCCCCGCACAAGAAGTTGCTGGCCTCCGCTTGGTGTAAACGTAGGCATAGCTTCCATTCCTTGATTAAAACGGGGTTATACAAGTTTTTTGGCTGGATTCAGGAACCAAAATGCCTTCGACGTGTTTTCAGTGAAATGAGGTTCGTATCAGATAACAAGTAACACGGTGTAATCATTCCAGGAGTTCTAATTGGCTGTCACGTCGCTATGGATACGTAAGTTAAACGCCACATTGGCGCCATTTTGGTCAATCAAATTTTCGTTAATTCACATTTTCTCGGCTAAAAGCACCTGGCGCCTGGCCTAGGCCTGGCAAAATGAAACAGAAGAGGTGATATTAAAAATGAAAGGGTGCTTTTCTAGAGCAAATATAAATTTCCTGTGTATTTCAAAATTCTAGGGCTTAATTTTCAGCACAAAGTTTTAGAAGGATCTGTGACTGTTAATTTACAACAAAAGAGAATGTCTTTTGTCTTCCATGACAGGGAACTCACAAACAGGCTGCGTAATCGCTCAAACTGGAGTCAACAGAAATCGGTGGAACCATTATTATCTCCGCGCAATGTGAATTCTGGAGGAAGAGGCGCGCGAAATTGTTGTTTTTGTTAAATTTTTCCGCATTCAGAATTTATTCAAGATTTTCTATTTGTGAAGAAAGGTACCAGCTCAGCAGAAATGAACAAACTCGTATTTTGCATTGGTGAGGAGTGTTCAGTAACTAATAATTCTTCTTATTAGTTACTGAACACTCCTCGCCTATGCAAAATACGAGTAAAATAACTTGACAAGCTCCACCCTGTAAATTATATTAATAAACACTGGTTAAACGTCATCTGATGGCAATAACTACCCGAAGTTACCTTAACATGTTTTCCGTGAAAATAATGCACGTGAATTCATGATCTGATGAAGACACTTGCCCGGGAGACTCTGGCTGAGAACACGGGAGAAGGGAGACGATCTGCATCTTAATAGCACTCTAGCACTCTTTTGCTCCATCCTTGACAGGCAAAACGAAAAAAAACATACAAGTCCTTGACGAACTATATTACAGCTGGAGAACATTGACTTCGGTTTTGTCAATTTTTCTTATCAGACGGTTCGAGAGGTACTCATTCTCAGAGAAGTCAAGAACTTCCTGGGAGGAATCTTCTTCGTATTTCAGATAATATTTCATCGAATGTTGTTGTTTTGTTTTGCTTTCTCTGTTTATATGCGATATTCCATTAGTCAAGTAACTTCTTTCCTCAGAACCCAAAAGCAGTCAGTTTAGCAGTTATCTGTAGCGTTTGTCAATTTTAATGTTAAATTTTATGTCTGAGATGAAGACATACCTGAGGCAAGTTAACGGCGAACTTCGGAAGTACCTGCAGTCGTACTCTCTTGACATTTTTTTAGGAGTTTAATAAAACCACGATGGCAACGGGGACGTCACCAAACAAAAGGTTTAATGAGTATAAAAATGGCTGTGCACGTGCGTTAAAAATTTTTGTAGATTTCTCTGCGTCCTCTGCAAATGACCAAACTTTGCGTTGTCTGGAGAACGTGAACAACACTGGGTAATTTTTTATATTTCTATTAGTAATTTAACGCTGTGTTCCTTATTCAGTTTCGAGACAGTTTTGACCGTGAAAAACAAACTAAACGACTCTATAGAGTATCGCGAGATTCGTAGGTAAAATGAAGGTTCACTTTTTAACCGACGTTGTCCACGGCGTCGCCGTCGTTGCTTCTTCTACCCCTTATTAGCGTTCGGCAGACTCCTGAGCCCTTGCGCCATACTCTGATTGGATAAAACGAAAGTCAGAAACTTCAAAGAGAAATTGACTGAACATTTTCAACCACTCTTATAGATAAGCCCCTCTTTCACCTGTGGCATTATGAGATAATCACGAACGACTCTAAATGATTTCTACCTCCAGCTGAATGCCATTAGCTAATAAAAACCTTTCCGCTGTAAACATAAATTTCCTCTTGCGCACTAAGGGGTTTTCTGTATTATTTTCATGCTGCTTTTTTGTCGCTGAGGAAAGCGCTTAGCTCTATTTACATTGGTTGAATTAACGTTCGATCGCTAAGTACCCACTTAATACATTACGAATAACGTAACTAGAATTGCTTTACCAGAATCATATGCACAATTTTTAAGTTTTATCAACTAAATTATTCATAGTCGTTGGTTTTTCTTTTTTCTTTACATTAATTTTTTTGCCTTGTTTTGTTTTTTCCATTTTTATGACCACAATGGTAATTTTTCCGAATTTTCCTGGCAACATTCAACGCCAACTTTCACGAAACATTCTGGTGGAAGAAACTAAAAAATGATTGACGCAATAAAGCTTTGTTTTTGCTACAAAACAGCTTTCAGGTTAATCAAGCGAGCCTTTTGTTAAAAAAAGGATTTTGGTCTACCTCAAAGACAATCTAAATTAAACTATTGTGGGTTAGTGAAGTGTTAATGGTACCCAGTGAATACGTTTTCAGAAAGCTTCGCGAACAAGGAACTCACACAAAACACAACAGTCTTATGAAAGAGTTGCTCCTGGAACAACCTTATTCAACATCAATCGGTTCAATAGAATTCAGAACTTTTTCTTCTCCAAGGTGAAAATTTCACGTAACTGAACTGTAAATAACTAAGCTAAATTGAATAATTTTCCTCAAGGTAACATTTTTTTACGGTATACTTAAGGAAAGCACAAGATGAATTGTTCGCTTGCGGTATAAATTTTGATAAGTCGGACAGCGTCATCTGATTTTGACATGATCAGTTACACGCACGATCTGTTGCATAAGAAGAACACATCACTTATTTTCGAGTGCTCCATCTTCAACTTGTCAAATTTCAATTTCGTTTTTTTACCAATTAGCAACAACTATTTCATAATTGCCCGAATGATAATTCGCCTCTGTGACCGGTTCGTCCGATATTTCTATGGTGTTTGATTCTATGGAACAGCCGATCACGAGAGAACTCTAAACACAAATATATCTTGCGTTATTTGCGCGAAGCGCAAGAAAAACAGACTTTAGGCTGGTTGACTGAGCATACTTAAGCCTTAAATTGCAAAAGGTGGCAAAGTTATGAATCGTGCAACGGTTATAATATTTTAAACAGATGCTATTGGCGTTTGATGCGACAATCAATCAATTACTAGAAAAGGATTTAGCCTTCACTGAATTGGAAATGAATAATGTATTTCTATGTTTGCCTGAAAACTTTCTTTGCCTTGCAGATGGTGTGATTGCAAGAAGGCCTTTGACGGGTAAAGAAATAATTTCTTAAATGGAATGTTTTTAATGCAGTGATCCTAGACTGATGGATGAAGTCCCTAAATTCTTATCATCACGTTTGGAATCCAGGTTTTTATCAATCAGTTGGCCAATTGATGAACAAAAGTACGTGGCCATATGTTTCACGACATGTATAATTTCTCTTTTTAAAGTGAGACGAAAACTGTTTGATTCAAGAAACGCTGTGGAAATCACGTAATTTTGTGCGCATCTGAGACAAACTTTGTCTTTCTTGTCCTTCGGGAAAAATCACCACAGCTCCGTAAAAATGACGGCGACATTGAAGTTTCAGCACACAAGACAGTCGTTCAGGTTGTTTATTTTGTTACTTATTTTGGTACTGTACACATGTGTTTGTGCCGTCGTCTTTAACTCTCTTGAAGTAGCTAACGACAAACTTCAGTACGAGATATATCAAGGAAAGAAAAAGCACTACAAACAGAAGTATAACATGAGCGAAGAAGATTTCATTGAGTTTATCACCGACGCTAATGTTCTTGTCAAGCGTGGATATGCTAAAAGCTACAAACATTACTGGAATTTTTATCACGCGTTTTGGTTCACGACTACGGTGGTAACTACCATGGGTAAGTATTGTGTATTGCGAATAACATTTATTAAATAGACTGTCGCTGTCAAAAGGAAGGTTGAAGGCTAGGAGAGCTAACAGAAAGGAGAGGATGTTTGGATCGGCTAAAGTCTTGACAGATTTTTATTTTTCGTTTCGTCAAAGTCAGACTTAATATTTTGAAGCACTTTCCCACACTGTGCGTCTGGTTTTGCTGTATCTTATGCGTACACCGCAAGGGAAACGAGGTTTTCCCTATATTCCTCAGAGATTTTACTGCTATTACTGTTTTCATAACAATTTGGCAAACGTACGAGAAAAAGTGTTCATCTGCCTTCATAGAAATATCAAACAAAGAAGTGGCAACGTCGGCAGCCAAAAGCTATTCGAGGGGTTCGCGAGGTCGGAAACCTTTCGTTAAACAGCTAACACGCTGGTTTTTAGCGCAAAGTGAATAAACACATTTTATGATGATATTATGCAATTTAAAACGATGCTTCTTCGACTGTTAGGTGCCGATACAGCTTAATCCATCAAATATTACAATTGCAACTTGGAGTTTTGTAATGATCGAAAACCAGTTATTAGCTTTTCCTTCATGGCTAAAAAACTGACCGTAAAACAAACAGATTGTTATGACATTATAAGTGATTTTGTGAAAATCACAAGATAACAGTCTCGATTCTTTAATTTTAGCGGCTTCTTCAGTGAATGAATCGGTTTACTTTGAAGTGAGTTTGACACAATTGATTGCTGTCCATTTTCTGTTGCCAGAGCTTCACTATTCTTTTCAGCATTTCGGTTACACCCAGTTCTAAGAAACATCACCATTTGAATGACAAAAGTTTCACATTTCCAGAAGCTCATATATTCATATATGAATCGCACATGTTTCGATGAAAGATATAACAAAATATTAATTGCCGATCAATTTTTCATCTGTTCTTTGTTTTTGTTTTTTTTCTTTAACCTTAGGCGAAATAATAAATGCTGTCGCATTTTCAGATCATTTCATCGGATAAAACCTTCCCAGGTTTACATTAGACTTAAAATTACCTAATGAACGATTTAAACTTAAAGTTTGACCGATTCGAAAGATCTGTCTTCACAATACACTTAATTCGATACACGAACGAATGAAAGGCACAACCAAAATTTGACACTTTGCTGCTTGTCATAATTTTGAATATCGTTAAAGTTATAGTTTTTCTTGTTTAAACTTATTTACCTTTATCTATGGTTCATTATCATCGCTGCCGACCCATATCTTCATAAATGGCTGCAGACAATCCTTAATCAATTACACAAACTTTATTTAGTCATTCCTCTGGTGGGTTATCGCTCGAGCAGAGAGATTCTACACTTGGAAAATTCCCATCACCCGTCCTGAGCTTCAGAAAACAAAGAAAGAGTGCTAAGGACTGGCCAGAATTCATTTTGTTGTTGTTGTTAATCTTGCCACGAGTTAAATAGATTATACGTTTTTGCGCTCCTTTCACATCTAGAGAAAGTTATATTTATTTCATACGCACTAGGATTCACACCGTGACTTGGACGAGCGATGTCTTTCAGTTTCACAGTCGTTCGCTTTCAATCTTTGAAATTTGTCGGTCATTAGGAAAAAATTCTCAGTGTTTATGAAATATAAACATCATACCATGGAAAGCGCGCACGAACGATTTTAATTCACTAAAAAATCTCCCTCGTTCGCTGCGCTTACCAGTTCGTTTTTTTTTTTATGCATCGCAACTCGATCGTGAATAAAAACCTCTATATCATCGAGGGTTGAAAGATTGCTCGTTGCACATGCAATAGATAACGCAAAACACAATAACGCCGAAGAGCTATCTCTTTCTTCAGCATGAGCTAGGAAACGCCAAGATACTTTCCTTCTATTGTCAGAAATTGTGACCTTTTGAATGATGTCGCACTCGAGTCAAGTACTCATTTTTAGGAAAGCCTTAGATCAAGTTACGTCGCTTTGCTCTTAGTGTTCGATACTATAGTTGGCAACGGATACAACTGGCATCTCCTCTCTTTTGTTGAAACAAAAGACTGCTAAGCTTTTTCCGTCCACACAATTTGCGACGCTTTGCTTTAAGTGCTCGTCACTACAGTTGGCGACGGATCGAACGGGCATTTTTCTTTTCTTTGAAACACGAGATTGCTAAGCTTTTTCCCTCCACCCAATTTGCGACGAAAATACCTCTGGCAAGTGCTACCCTCAAAGAAAACCCAAACATAACTAAACCCTGAAGGCTACGCGAACCACCGACCAATTAGATTCAAAACTATAAAAACGAGCCGGACTTGCTCATACACGTTTGTTGTTTGATCTTTGAGACAATTTCGGCGAGCTCTCATAAAATTTCGTATTGAATGCTTTTTATTTCATTTACAGCTTTTCAGCTGCTTGTAATTGAAAAAAAAATTAGAGATGTTTGAGAAAAGGGGAGGAAAGAGAGGCTTTTAGAGTTTAACTGAAACCAAGGTGTTTGTTTTTGTGAGTGCACGTATAGTCTGAACTTGTATTTAGCGATCACCCAGGGGCGTGGCGGGGTGACCGCTTGGTTGACCGCTTAATACAAGTTCAACAAGATAGGAGTCAGACGCGTTAAAAAAAAAACAACGACAACAAGAGCAACAAAAACAAACTAAAAACAAGCCAAAAATAAACCCCTATTTTCTCCCAACAGTCCCCAAAAAAAGATTATCTGCAATGCGTTGAGGACATTTCAACAGTAACATTGATTTCAGGAGATAAAATGGAATAAATTGACTTGAGAAATTATCTTAAGTTTTATTTAAGTGGATCGGCCTCAGTGACCGTTCAATACAGGTGGAGGATATTACAAACAGGACGTTGGGACTCAGTCAAAGGTGACCACGACCGCTTTATAGAGGTGAAAATTATAGTACTTAAGGGAAAAATTACGAGACTTTGTCAATCGACCGCTTAATACAGGGTGACTGTTTAATACAGGGTGACTGCTTCATACGGGTTCCACTGAAATGTCTTCCATGTCCTCGTCCCTGTTCCATGTCCCCAGCACAAAAGCAACAAAGTGCTTGATCAATAGTTTGATTCGTTTTTAGAATTTATAACAGCACGATAAGAAAATCGGTTCAAGTTGCGGGTTGAATGTCACTGAAATATCTGGGCGAAAATTTCGAACCACATAAATGATGCATTGAAATCTTCACGCGCAAACTACAATCAACGAAGATAGCGCTACTGTCTGGCTGTATCACAACCAATCATTGTAGGTCCTTCGCCGATTCGCAAAGTTATCGCAAAAAATATTATTGGGTAAGAACCAATCACAACATAGCACTTCTATCTAGCCTCAACAACTTAAACAACTTCTATATAGGAAACCGATCAGTTTTCGTTTTCTTCCTTACATATCTTTTTCCTTGTTTACAGGTTTTGGACATATTGTTCCTCTTACATTTGGTGGCCGGCTTTTTTGCATATTCTGTGCCCTGCTTGGGATTCCTCTAAATCTGGTCGTGCTTAAGACAGTCGGTGAACGAATTAATCAATACATCTACAACACTATAAAACATGTCGAGAAAAAATACCGCAAACAGAGGCACCCCTCCCATGTGGGGATCAAAGCTGCGGCGGTTTCGTTCCTAATGATGGTAGCAGTCCTTCTTGTGGGTGGAGCTTCTGACATGATCTTTGACGGTTGGACATTTTTTGATGGGGTTTATTTCAATTTCATCGCCTACAGCACAATTGGGTTTGGTGATCTTTTTCCTCGGGTGGAGGAGTCGTCGAAACTGGACAAACTTGGTCTGGGTGAAAACGGCAAGCGTTTGTTTGCTTCTTTTGTAATGATGACATTTACGATCTTGGGATTATCAGTGACTTCGACTGTCATTTGCTCAATTTTGAACGCGATTGACGAAATGTCACACGTGCCCGCGACCTGGAGGACTAAATCTACAGACTCCAATAAGGATCCTGGCTCAGTCAAGTTAAGAAGCTTAAATAAGAAAATAAGCAAAGAGAAGATGGAGATAGATAAACAAGAACTGAACGAAAAGAGCGACAAAGATCTACCACATGAACAATCTGGTGAAGTAAGCCACTTTCCAAAGAGTTTTTGTTGAGAGTTAACGTATAGAAGAGTGGATTTCAAGTGAGTCAGGCTTGGAGCAGTCCCTCCTTATCGACGAAGTCTGTTGCGCATGGAAAATAAAATCAGTTAAAAGAGACATTGATGCTAGCGCGCCACGTGGAGTTCTGGGTAGGAGGCGCACGAAAAGTAGGCCTAACTCCCAGAGTTCTGTCCGGCGCGCCGACATAATTGTCTTTTTCCACTCATTTTTTGCACTCGCACGACGTATTTAACCGAAAAGGGAGTACTACTCTTCGTCTACAAGCTATGAAAATAACTCAGTTATCCAGGATTTTTACCACCCAAAAGTTCCTTTACATACAGGAAATTTCTACCCCAGTGAGCAGGGTCTAAAAAACCGTTCAAGTAACAGAATTAGTTTTCATTGGAGAGAAGTGTTTGGGCTGTGCCCGGTACAACGGTTTTCATTTAGTCTTGTACTTTGCCTTCAAATACTGAAGTTATAAAACGTTTTAACTGATATTCAATTGTTTAGTTTTCAAGAAAAATATCTGATTGTATTCAAAAACTGCGGACAGAGGTGTTATAAGCGCGCGCAAAGAAACAATTTTCGCAAGTCTTGGAATAAGGAAACTTAAGCAGAGACATTTTTAAACAAGGTCAGAGACTAGAACAGGAGAAGGCAGAGGGGCTTTGTTTTAGCATAACGTCCTAAATGAAACATATGTGGCAAATTCCGAAAATAGGAGCTTCGTCCCTTCCTCTGCCGCACGTATACATCTCACTCTCCAGAATGTAACCTAGCACTGCACTGGAGCGCAATTAAAATCTGGAGATAATGATATAACCGCGAGGATTGCTGGATGTGCTTTTCAGGATGGCCTAGGGGCAAGTTGGAGGAAAGCCATCGTGGTCATTACTCTCAGTTTACAGTGATATAAACCAACAGTTATCGCTCCAGAACAGCAAGTTTTGGGTTTTGTTTGTTTTGCGCTCGATAACCAACTGCTAGTCAGAAAATGAGTTGACGCACCTCTCGCGGGGAATAAAGAACGAACTGGAGAGACCGACTCTCAAAACAAGCGTAATATTGTTTGCCTTTTTACGAAAAGCGCAAGGTAAAGAAGAGGGCAAGGTGCGCGCGTGGAAAGTTTGCACGTCTCTCGTCATTCGTGTACTCCTCGCGATCATTTCGCCCGCCTGAAAAACGTAAAAAGGCGCTTGTGTATCGCAACTGGAGTCTATGTTTACATATGACAATAATGGACACCAGACATAGACACATAAGCCAGATGTGTTGATTAATTTTTTGTTAATGAGTGCTACGGGTCCGGACTTTGAATTACAATATCTACAACACTTAAACTAACAACTTTTTAGCGCCAAAAAGTATCAATGCAAATAATGATTCTAAGATGTACACGTATCATGTACATTTGGCCAGAGTTAAATTAGGTAGCTGTTATTAAAGGATATAATATTAAATCTACTACAAGATTTTAGTCCCAGCTTTTCGGCGAAGTCCGTCGCGCAAGTCAAATAAAGTATGTGAAAAAGAAAAACAAATTGAAGTGCGCTGCAAGGAACTCTGGAAGTGAGGCACACAAAAAGGAAGTGCGCCTCACTCCGTGCGGCGCGCTACCATTTTTTCTTACATCTACGCGCAGACTTCGCCGAAAGAACCGCTCGCAGTCTAACAGGACTAAAAATGAAAAATGAAATACGCCCACCGAAAAAAACCCCCTAGCTTTCAGAATTAAAAGGTAATGTGGTACTATCAAGCGAGTTGATCACGTAAATTGACCCCCTAAAGAGTTTCGAGCGACAAAGGGCGAACGCTCGAAACATCAGCTTTGAAATGATTTACGGTGGCCAATTTACGCTATCAACTCAGTCGATGACCCTAAATTACCTCATTATACTCTCTCACCGACGCAGCACCACAGTTTCTTTAGAAACTTACCCCCTTTTTCCGAATTACATTTCGTGGGAAAAAAGAAAACATATGACAGTGGTTGGGGATGAATGAGATGAACTCACTCACACATGAAAAGAAACCAATTGAGCAACATCCTCTTTGGTCATATTTCTACGTCAGTTCGACTAAAGCGAGTTTAATTTTTCTTGTGCGCTGCAGCCTTCTTAGGAAATGCGCCCAATTTTATAAGCATCTAATTTGGTTCTAATCTCCCGAACACACAGCACCCTAAACAGTCCTCAGAGCGGGAATAATTGTGGAAGGAAAGATGGCACATTTGCAGTTATAACATAGCTACATTCGTACACGCGCTCTGATTGGCTAATATTTTATGAAAAAGAAATGGATGGCTCATAGAGATGGTTCAAGCTGACATCATTGCAATCTTATCAGTTCAGATAGAGCAACTTTTCAGCGTGAAAAATGTTTCGCTATGTTATAAAAGCAATGGACAATGTCTAGGCAATCAGAGCGCAATATCTAGCTCATCCAATTCGGGATGTACGCGAATAGTTGGGAGAACACGAAGGTAGCATAAGATATGCTCAAGACGCCGCTACCTTCATACTCTTCCAACTAACCGCGTGCATTCCGAATTGGATGAGCGCACGCTAGACATTGTCCATTCCTTACTTAAAAAATTCTGCTCAATTGCTGCTCTGTTTTCTTCCGCTCATCCTGTAAATGGCTTTGCTTCAAGGTCACTGAAAGTACCTCTTTAGGCTTGGCTTATATGGAGAATATTCTTTGAGCAATTTCAGTTGTTCTACACTATTTTCTTTGCAGTTCCTCTTATCAGAAACACCGAAGCACCCAAGATGAGTACTAAAGCGTTTAATTTAAATATATAGTCCCATCTGTGACCAACTTCTAAAAGGTAACCTGTGAGAAGGGGGCCAACAATTCCTGTAAAAAATAAACAAAACTTAACAGAGAAGAATAGGATAATTGAAGGCAGAGACAGAAGTACATCGAATTACCCAATTATAATGTCTTGTGCTTGTTTTATTTAAGGTCCGAATGGAACACAATACTTCACCCAAAAAGCTTGAGACATTTAGGTAAAGACCAAGTCACAAACGATTTCAGCCTTACATGCAAGGCTGAATTATAGCAATGAAAATATTAAAATCAGAAAGTTAAGGGTTTGAATGTGTAATATAATGCAACATGATGACGATGATCTAGTGTGAAAAACAACTGAGGCAAAGATCATGAAAAAGAAAGGTCTTGGAAAGAGGAAGTTCACAGCAAACACATACACCCTTTGGATCTGAAGATAGTGCCTGGTCAGGTTCTAGAAGGATTCAGTCCCATAACATTCCTGTGTCATTGGTGTTTTTTGTTTGGGGTCAAATCAACAGAGGTAATTTAGCAAATTTCTGTCCATGCAACCCACCTGAAAATGCACCTGCTGAGTTCATTATTCCTAGAGATAAAAAAGAAAAAGCAAAAAAGTGAACAAAAATATTTAAAGAATTCATGATCACATTTCTCTTGGGTGTAGAGCTTTGGAACTAACAACAATTCCTCTGACCCCACTGCAGGAAACCAGTCATATTTCTCTCCTAAGAGGACTTGTGTCATTTCCCTTTTCCATTCCCTCACACAATTTATAAGTTTAACTTCACTAAATTTAGCATCACTTCATTCAATTGGAATTTTAAAAATCTAAATTCAATTTGTTTATCAAGCATACTTTGAGAATACAAATTAGACTTCGGTCAAAGAAACAAAGTTGTTCAAATGAACATTTTCTTTCACCAATTATCATTGGCATTACATTATTACATTAAAATAGCCCTACATTTGTCAAAATTCCTTCCAACAATTTTCAGTGACCGGCTGTTATTTCCAGTACTGTCTTGCCTTTAGTGTTTGGTTTCAAGAGTTTTGAACCCTTTAACCTTTTAACCCCCAGGAGTGATTAACATGTAACTTCTCCCTATAATATCCATTCCATATCCAGCACAGAGATGATGAGAATTCTCAAACTTATCAGGTACAGGTTGTTGTCTTGATCTAACGCCAAATTCTCATAACTAAGTTACAGGGAAATGTGTAGCAGCTAGAAGGAAAATTAACAATCAGATCTTGGGAGTTAAAGGGTTAAAGCTGAAATTGATCAATAACCTATTCCTCTTGAAAATGGGATACATAGATACATGCTCGTGATTGTTATTGGTGTAACCCATAAAGCAGAGAGTACAAGGCAGGATCCTTCCACTTCTGAATAAAAAATAGGCAACTTAAATTTCACGAAAAAAATTCTCCCATCTCTGACACCTGATAAAACCCAGCAAACAAAGCTACTTACCAAAGAGTGTCCCAGCAAACTTGGGAGACATATCTTGGGGTGTGACAGGAGTGCCTGCATTACCTAATGCATTCATACTCATGGCCATCATCATGCAAAAAACAGCCTGACTAAAGTTGGATGACTTGGTAATAAGAATCATGAAAAGTGCCCCACCACACATTGAAAGAGTCTGTAAAAAAAAAGCATTAAAATTGCACTTTAGCAAAGATAAATAGATAAGTAACAGGAGAAATAACAAACCTCACAATAATAATTATATGAAGAATCACTTTAATAATAATGATCCAATGCTCTATCTGGTGTGGTAGGAGACGTTACTTGCCACGCATATAAGGCCAGTTAGACACTCAGTCTGTGGACAGCTTTTGAACAACTTTTGACTATTTGATTTGAATTTCTTTTAACATAACGATAACAATGATGACAAAAATTATAGAAGTTAGTGTAATGGAAGCACAGATGGAATCTGTGCAAATGACCAGTATATCATATTACAGAACCAAGATTGCATTAATGAAAATAAATAACATATAGTTTTCTTCACTCTTGTACTTTTCAGTGAATAGCTTTTATTAAGAACATTAAAAAACAGAAAACATTAAAAACAGAAAATTACCTGAAAGAATTTTCTGACAAAAGTAACTGATGATCCTGCAGAATTGACAAAGCAGGAATAGTAAGAAGATAGAGGATCAAATTAATTGCAATGCTTCTGCTGTGTTCTTCGAAAAAGACTGCTAAAACCTTGCTACCCTGTATGCTAACTGATCATCTTTCACACAATGGAATATTTCAGCCATCATCTGCTAATTAAAGAGTAGGTGAAGAGGATCCAGGGGAAAAAATTCTAATTGACGTGAGATAGAAGGCACCACTCTTCAACCAAATTCTCCTTTATTCCCTTATAAAACAAAGGGAGAAGGATGGAGTAGATCTTGCACAAGAAACAAATCACTTAAAGTAATCAACTCCACACTGCCTTTCAAATGCAAACTTTAAGTGAAAAGCCTATAACACATAGGGTGTGTATCTAAACTAACTCCCATCCAAGAAAAGATCTGAGATTGCAAACCCCTGCTCTCCAGTTGGTTAACATTGATTTCGAAGGTTTACCTTAGTAGGTTGTTGACTGGTGAAACTTTGTTCGGGAAGTAGATGCCAAATTCACATGAAATTTTGAAGGCTGGTTAAGGAACATTTATCAACAATCTATGCATCCAATTACAATTTTGAGCCATAAAAGGAATGAACTGGAAAGTTCTGAATTTGTTCAAGGATCAATCATGGGAGTGAAAGGTTACACAGGAAGTATTCTGCAGATAACACAATTTTTGTCTTTACCATTGAAATTATATATTAAAATTTATTAGTACTTATGTT